GTAAAGATCTTTTGCTTGTTTGATAAAAAAAAAAGAAGAAGAAGAGAGAATGGTTTTGTGGGTATTTGGATATGGATCTTTAATATGGAACCCAGGTTTCGACTTTGACGATAAGCTCATTGGCTATATCAAAAACTACAAACGTGTCTTCGATCTTGGTATGTAAAAGCTTGATCCTTTTTCAATTTGAATGTTTTCATAAAGTATCAATCTTTTGTAATGATTTCTTTTTCCGTTTTTTTGTTCTGCAGCTTGCATTGATCATAGAGGAACTCCAGAACATCCTGCAAGAACTTGCACTTTAGAGCAATCCATTGGAGCTATATGTGTAAGTTTATAATATTCCAATTTCATTAATCTTATTGAAGAAAAAAAAGAAAGAGAAGAAATCTAATGTTGAAAAAATCGTTGATTTTTGGGCAGTGGGGTGCTGCTTATTGTGTTCGTGGAGGACCTGAGAAGGAGAAATTAGCTATGGAGGTATAAAGAATGATTCTTTTTTTATATTCATAAAAATTAAAAAAATAGTTTTTTTTGTGTGTGTTTTCTCTTTATTGGATCTGAAATTGATGTTTTTTTTGCAGTATTTGGAACGAAGAGAGTGTGAATACGACTCAAAAACCCTTGTGGAGTTTTACACTGTAAGAATTAAGAATATTGTGTTCTTGTCTTTTCCTGATTTAGAAAGTTTTCTTGATGCTAGTTTCTGTGTTCTTGAATGTAGGAAACTGACACCTCCAAGCCAATCTTGACCGGAGTTATAGTGTATGTTTCGATTAAACAATCTCTTTTTTTTAATCCTTTCAATGGGTTATAATTTGAAAGATTCAATGTTGAAAAGACTTTGTTTGTGTGTGTCTTTGTGTAGATTCACATCAACTCCAGACAAAGTGTCAAACAAGTATTACTTAGGGCCTGCTCCATTGGAAGAAATGGCGAGGCAAATCGCGACAGCTTCCGGACCGTGTGGGAACAACCGGGAGTATCTTTTCAAGCTCGAGAAAGCAATGCACGACATTGGTATGAATTTATATATCAAAAGAGAAATAATGTCACAATTTTTGGTATGGTTTTTGATGATTGTAAGTTTTGAATGTGTGTGAAAACAGAGCATGAGGAAGAGTATGTGATTGAATTGGCGAACGAGGTGAGGAAACAACTCGGAAAAGAAGAGGATTTACCAAAGGAAGTTAAGGCATTGTTGAAGCCTGTGGTTTCTCGTGTACCTGTCAAACCTCAAGCTCATGTTTCCACTCTTAAAGTTCAAGGGGTCTTTGCATCATGATTAGACAACAAATTCATTGAGTGAACTAACAACAACATTGTCGTGGATGAGAGGTCCTTAATTAGGATATTTACGGATGTAACAAGACTATCTTTCCACTTATATTCGATCACATTTTGAACTTTCAGAATATTGTTTTTGTTTTCCCTCTGCATTTGATGAGAATTCATAACACCATGACTTATGAGTTTCAATTTGTGAAAATAATAACCAATCTTTTGCTCTATCTACTGTTGGAGATTTCGCTTTGGTAATAGACTAAGACTTAGTCAACACAACAAAGACATGCCAATGTCTTAATACTTTTGCATACTGAAAAAAAACTCTTAAGCAGGTATGAGGAAATCAGTGGCTTCTCTAGTCATTTTAATCAGAAACTACAAATACATCTAACAATTGAAAATTTTCTGTAGATATTTTGAACGAGCAAACTTCTGTGAGATGCATCTTGAGGGCGAAGACGGTTACATACCGATAAGATAAGATAAATACACATTACTCGTAAGGTCCTCCTCAATGAAACAAATGTTACTTACTGACCACCTTGAGGACTATAGGCTATTGAAGTTTCAGGATATGAGAAGCATTTTTTTTTTCGGTACCAAAACTTTTTGGGCCTTAGGTCTGTAAACTCTTTTAGGCCGGGCATCAGAACACTGTTGCGGTGACTCGAATCTGAGACTTGCAACTTCTTTCCACCCAAAGGGTGCACAGGTTCAACCAGTAGAGCTAATAGTTCCTGATAAGAAGTATGGGTATTGGAGTTAATGTGTTTTTAATTCATAATGTATACGGTGTATACTATACATCTTAAGGATCTTAGAAACTAAATTTATAACCGGTTTATAATGTTTTCTATGTATGTTGGTTTAGTCTTCTTAATTATGTTGAATCAGTTTCGGTTTGCTTTCTGATAAGATTTATCAGATCATTTATCTTTAAACTAGTGTATTACCGCGCCCTGCGCGGATTTTTTTTTTATAGATAATGATCTTTAAAGAAAATAAAAGATATTGTTCATTTGAAATATTTAAAATCAAATATTAAAATCAAAGAAAAATATCTTACAGAAACTACATGTGAATAAAAAAATTCATATTCAAAACCCAATATTAATAGAAGATAGAAACTCAAACTAAAAAATCAAACCATAACTATCTTATAGAAAGAACATGTCAAATAAACTAAGAATATTCCAAACCATTACATTCTAAGATACGACGAACATCAACAACAATTTTTTTGCATCGACTCTCATCAAGAAAGGTTGAAATCATAACCATGAATTTATTGATCACATCTTCATTAGATCATCCAATGTATGAGAGTTAAACCAAATTTCAACATCAGAAACAAACATATGTATTCTTAGATAAAGAAATCAAAAAAAAATTAAAGGATATTCAAATGAGATCAATTCAATTATTCAAATGACAGTAGTTTTATACTAATAGCTTATATTTTCTTTTGAATTTATAGGTATAACATTTATACTTTAAGCAATTTAAAAAATATTCTAAACATTTTTTTTTGGTCGAAATTCTACACATTAATATGTGAAGTTAAATAATCATAAATKTAMRTAAAACTTTTAAAASAATTCGATTTTGAGCAAATTAAGAGAAGCTAAACCCTAAGAGGGGAGCCTTAACCCTTGGAGAGCTTTAACTCTTACACAGTGAATAAAACTACGGTTCTAATCAGCTCGGCTATAAAAAAAAATTGGTTCGTATGTAACATTGTAGAAAAAAAAATAAAGTGTTAATTCGATTTGTTATTTTGAAAAGTACCGAGTTAATGGTGGGGTGCTCTTTTTATTCTGGTGCATGTTTTCGTGTTTCCGCGACGCTTCTTCTTCTCATGATGTTCCTTACTAACATATATTTCTCGTACTTATCTAACCATTGATTTGATTTCATCAATCCACTACTTTCAACTTGAAAAGAATTAAAATTTTAATTTTATGTCAAAGCTTGATAAATCATTGCCAATATAAAAAGATTTTTAGTATTTTATATGATTTGAAATGCGTAAGACATAATTCAAAATATATATCACGAATATATTTGGTAGATCTTGCAATTCAAATTACACCGCTTTACAGTGTTGTTACATTTACTTGACAATTTGTGAGTGGAAGAAAACTTAAAAATTAACGAAGAATAAGAAAGAGCTTTCTTCCTCAATTAACATCTTTTGACAAACTATTTTGAGATAGTTCTCTTTCATATGGGCATGAAGAGATAAAAATATTGATCCGATGAGATTGAATTCACCGTAATTGAATCTCAAAATATTCTTCACATGAGAACATGTTTTTTAATGGCTCAAACATCACTGCACAAATTAAAACCAAAAATATAATATTAACTAAATCCTTTTATGCTTTCAAAAATATATAAAAAAAACAACAGAGGAAAACATATGAAACAAAATATATCGATTAATAGATGTACTTTTTGAAGAAAAGAACCCCTCCCCCATTCATCACACAAACCAAAAGAACCTTCCTTGAAAACACCTTAAAAAAAATCACAATTGATCAGATATGGAATATCATGCATATGAACAAAAACAACAAACGAACTAACGAATAAAAAGCCAAAATAAAAGTTATCCTTAGCTTATTTGTGGTATTAGTATTACAACATTTATTGTTTGTCTTCATAGAAATTTGAAGATCCCTTTGCATGAACTATGTAACAAAATCGAAGTAGTAATTTACCAAGGATACGTTTGATTTGCAACTAACAACAATCATGTAGGTGATTCATTATGTTACTTTTTCCTTAAGAACAAGTTTAAACGGAATACTAACTTGCTTGTATTAACCTTAAAGAAAACTTAAAACTGTGAAGTTAAAGCATGTAGAGGGACAATGCCAAATCTTAGGGTATGTTTTCGAAAAGAGGGATAAAGAAAAGGGTTTAGGGAAATAGATCGAATATAAGAAACTCAAGAGATCTAACAATATATTTGATTAATGTGATTGGTTTGTAACAAATTGAAGTGAGGTTATGTGATTAGTGTATATTTTAACAAAAAGTATAATACACAAGCAACTTTCATGCCATGTATTTTTTTTGTAAGGTTGATTCTAATATTCTAGACCAGACCCACAAGTTTTTCATCAAAACTCAATCCATTGTTTTGAAACCTTAAAAACTGAATAACAAATTTTAAAAATATGAAGTACAATTTACATATTATTGTAGTTTCTATTTTATTTTTAAATGCACCCATTGCATATCGCCTAACGCGAAAGCTACGATTTATAATAAACGATTTAAGAATATATTGTTGTAAAACCAATTACAATTACTTTTTATTGCAAATTAAAAAGAGCTAAACCCTATGAGGGGAGCCTTAACCCTCACAAACTGAATAAAACTATGGTTCGCTTCTTAAAAGGAGCTAAACCCTATGAGGGGAGCCTTAACTCTCACAAACTGAATAAATCTATGAATCGATTCTTTAGAGGAGCTAGATCCTAAGATGGGGGAGCCTTAACCTAAACACAACGAATAAAACGACAATTCGATTCAGTTCGGCTATTAATTTTTTTGGCTCATATATATATTGTTGCAAACAAAACAAAAATTTAATTTTGAATTGACTTTTAGTGAAATTACTACAACAATCCTGGTTTGGTTACTAAAATAATAAAATAAAATGTTATTATCGAATACTTGTTTTATATTAATCAATTTTTTTTGGAATGTATATATACCATTTATTTTTTTAGCAAATTAAAAAGGTTTAAACATTAATATGTGAGGTTAAGCAATCATAAATTTAAGCAAAACATTTTTTTAATTTAAATGTGTGCAAAATATTTAAATTAAATGTTTACCAAATTAAGAAAAGTTAGAACTTAAAAAGGGAGTCTTAACCCTCACACACTGAATAAAACTACGGTTCAATTTTTAAGAGAATTTACACCCTAAGAAGGGATGCTTAACCCTCATATATTGAATAAAACTACGGTTCAGTTCAGTCCGGCTGTAGAAAAATTTGATTTGTATGCAACGTTACATAAAGAAATAATTTTTCAATTTAATTTGGTTTTTAGTAAAAATTATCGGTTAATTGTGGGATGCTTGACTTATTTTGGTGCATATTTTTGTGTTCACGTCGCGTCTTTTCACAAAGTTATGTGCCAGCATTTATCCCTTGTGCATGTCTACCTATTGCTTTGATTTCATTATACTGTTTTTATTGATTTTTTCTTCACCAATATCTAAAATCCATTTGAAGAATGTTGCAAGCTCAAGTAAATTGCAATCACCATTACCTTGAATGAGTTTCATATTCTAGGTAAACCTTATAACTCTTTATCTAGCCAAAAGAAACAAAGAATTCGAAGTCGCCATAACAATTTAAACTTTACCACCATCCGTAATAACTCTAAATATGTCAAAAATTTGACATAAATGTTTCATGGAAAACAACAAAAGAAAAATAAATTCAAAACAAATAAGAAAAATAAATTAAAAACAATAAATATCTTTTTAATAACTTAAAACATCATCATCTATATAAAATCCCATTGAACCATATATAATGAGTCATTTTTTTAGGAGAAACATTATCACCATTAAACTTATGATATGAAGAAAAGTAAAYGGAACCAAAAATCCACTTGTRAGAGGTCTTGTGAGAGGTATTGCGATTTTTGATCCTTTCTCTCGTCTCTTACCCAACAAACATTTATTTATTGAGCCAAATACCTCTTAGTAGTTTCAATTTTTTACATACTTATAATATAAAATAAATCAATAATATTTAAACATAGAAACGAAAGGATTTATGAAAATTAATAATTAATTAAATAGAAGCACAAAAATGTTGTTGAACAAAAATCCCAAAATGATTAATTCTATATGCACGCGATATAAATAGATTTACACCCGATGTTTGAGTTTTTGGGATTATTTTTTGGAAAAAGAAAATAATTTAGGGAACAAAACATCTTAGACGATTCAGAGATCAAAAGAAGA